GGTGGTGTTGAAGGATAAGCATTATCTTTCAGGAGTATGAATCCTATGAGGACTCTACATGGAGGAGTAAGAGTCCTACTTGAATTGTGCCACACGGAACTTATAAAAGCTCACAAACATCACCTATGAAGAGGTAACACAACTTTGATTCTCGAATTCACAGAGCTTCTTGTCTACTTGTCTGTTTTTCTGACTTAGGCATCGGAGGGGTTTCCGGCACACACCTGCCGGCTAGCTCATGCTTGTGTTTTCAGGAAGTAAAGCGACGTCGTACGGAGGAGCGCAGACTTGATCAACAGGATTATACGAGAATGTTTATTTCTTTCCCATACAATGAGCTACCATCATGAGCTAATTTTGATTCTTCAATCTTTTTCAAGTACCAAATTTGATATGGTTGATAGAATTTTTCTGATTCTTCAATCTTTTTCAAGTACCAAATTTAATATGGCTGATAGAATTTTTTTGATTCTTCAGTCTTTTGCAAATACCAAATTTGATATGGTTGATAGAATTTTTCCCTTTCATGCCATCCAATGGTGCTAGCAATCCCAAAAGTGAAATATTTGCTCCGTTTGTAATTTTTTTATTACTTTTGAGAGCATTGCCTTAATCATCTCTAGAAAATATTTTTGAAAACTTTGAAGAACAACTTGATTAGTTATTCCTCAGTCAATTTTTTCAGAAACCTTTCATTATTGGGTATCTAAGAATAATGTTGTTTTTGAAATATCATCTTGTAAATTAATCTTGTTAATTTACTTGAAAATAATTTGTTTAATTCCTTTTTAATGGTCTTCTACATTATCTTTAATGAGTCCAAAAATTTCATAGGGAAGAATTGTTCTTACTTTTTCAAAATGACAAATTCTTCTAATTATTTCAAAAGAAGGATCTAAATATTCATGGTTCATGAATTTAAAAATTTGAAGAAAAGTACTTATTTTTTTAAAATTTAAAATCTTGATCCCATTTGTTTAATAAGTTGGAAACAAGGTTTGAGTTTAGTCAAACTAAAGATATGTCCAGACTCAATAAACGCAAAGAGTGATCTACCTAAACCCCCGCCCAAGCCAAAGTTCATCTCAAAAAAAAGGCTATGTTTCGGTTGTGAAAAGACAAAATTTCTTAGGTTGTCCTAAACTAACATATTGCACCACAACAATTTTACATTCACCAAATTTTGACTTACCCGAATTGTCCAAATTTATGCATACAGGTTGTTCGGTCAGTCATTTAGGCAAATGTCGGATGATAAGGTTGACTGTCGCAATTGACAAGAGTGACAATTGTAATTGACAAGATTGGCGGCGGTCATCCAACTGGTCGCTCGGCGTAGCCCAGCTTATGTAATTCAGACAATTCAAACAAACCCCAATTCGATAAATCAGTCATTTTTCATTGCACTATTTGCAAATAAAAATGTAAAAATATCCCAAAAAATTGCAGACATAAAACATGTTAAGAAAATTAGTTTGAGTTAATGTGAAAAAAAGTAGAATGTTTTACGTTACAATATAGTGTTTACCATATATATTTTACATGTATTAATAGAATTCGAGTTGCTTAGGTAGTGAGAGCACCTACCCAAGTCAAGGCCAATTTAGCAAACTTTAGCCCCAACCTTGACCAAATTTCAAATTATACTGCCTAAGCCCAAAATTTTAGCACATTAGAGAGAGTCCCGGCCCGCCCAAGTTGCACCCCAGTGTAATAGGGAAGAGCCTTGGTACAAGGGAATGAGAGAGACCTAGATAGAGGATCCTCAACCTCCATTATGGGCATTCTAAGGATTTAGTCTCTGAAGGTCAACTAGAGCTCACCAAATATGCAGCATTAGTATTGCCTGGGCCCAGAGTTGGGTGGGTTACCTAATAAAAAGAAAAGCAAGTCAAAGAAGAACAAAGAAAATGCTACCTAGAAAGCTGGAAAATTGTTAAAAGTAGGAGCGAGCCTGATCCAAATTGGACCGGATTGGGGTAAAATCAAGACCAATCCGTTATCTACGATTCCTGAAAAATTGAAACCAATCTAATCCGTTTAAATCGTGGAACTAATCCGAACCAATCAATTTAAACACGGATTGGATCAGTTTAGGACCACGGATTTACATAATTAAATAAAAAAAAAATATATATATATATAACACTTTAATTTCATAAAAATATAAATATAGCACCATATTAATTTCACAATAACATGTCTTTTCATAATAGCGACATACTGTTCTACAATTTAAACAACCATAAGAAAACTAGTTCCACCATAAGTATTTATACTATTACAAATTAACATTAAAAACTAGCAAACAAAAATAATAAAAGAAATACTATGCGAGTTTAGGTTTGAATTTAAGTTTTATATAAAATAAGAGAAGATACTATACAGAAGGGTGTATAATAAAAATATAGACTATTTGTATACGGTCCGGATCGATTCTAATCCAGAATTGTGGGGTTCAATTCGGAACTAATCCGTGAACTACGAATTTTTAATTTTTCAATCCGGAATCGAGCTACGGATTCAAAAAATCAATCCAAACCTATTGGATTGGACTGAACTGGATCGGATTACGGATTTTATGGATTCCTTGCTCAGCCCTAGTTAAAAGCAGCCCATTATGGAAGTTCATCAAGGGCATATATGCTTTCCAGCATTGGAAATGCACAAAATTCTCTAATATCTGTGAATGCATGAAGCTAGTTGATCAGCAGATTGATATATTTAACTAGATCAATGCAGATGCTTTTGGACAAGTAGACAACTTTACAGAGCTACTCATACTATCTGCCGCAATGTTACCAATACTAAAATTACAACTAACACTTCGCACTGATTGTGAGATCAAATAGAAGTCTGATCATGAGTGGAGTGATTAGTGATGCTGAAATCATGACAAGATCATTGTCATAAACTTTCATAACTAGAAACAATTACCTCAAGGAGCCTGATTAAAGAACATGCTCACTACTTTCTCAGACAGGAATGTGAACCTCTTACTCCATTCAAAACCAGCAGGGTCTTATGCTTGCAATGTATACTAAGGATAGGGTCGAAAAATGAGGCGAAGTTTGCGATCTTCAACATCAAAATGCAGAATAACTTTGTTGATTCTTTGGAATGGATCCAAGCATTGATAACATATAAACAAAACAGCTTAAAAGCATTGACGGAAGCTACACCCATAAACAAGAATCATGCATAAGATAACACAGATTATATAAGCCAATGTCCTAAATGAATTGCCTCATAGATTAGAAAATACCATGATGCGACACAACTTAGTGCTATGTACCTCGGATCATGCTCTTTCACCAAGAGGTATTGGCTACAACCCAAGGTTTTAAAAAGCGGCCGCAACCGTTACGTAACGCCGTTACGTAATGGTTGTGGTAGTTACCGCCACCCGTTACGGCCGCTTTTACAGTGTGATTGAGATTCACAGGTGTATTGGCCGTAGCGGCTGCTATAGCGGTCGTAACGGTGCCGTAACGGCTGTAACAGCCTGTTACGCACCGTTACGTAACGGTTCCGAATTGTTTCTTTCGAAAAAAAAAACACAAAAAAAAAAAGTTGAAATGGGGGAGAGAGATAGAAGAGAAGAGGGAAGATGAAGAAAATGTTTATTGTTTTTAATTAAGCTGTAAGACCTATGCTATTCTATTCAAGCTGCGACACTTCGAACCCATTTTGTTTTGTGTGTGTCTATTTTATATATTGTTTAAATAATAATATAATAATAATGAATAATAATGAATAAGTGTGGTCATTTTATATTGGCTTGATTAATAATATATATATATACTATTATATATAATACATATACTATATATTTAGGCTTTTATTTATTTCTTACTTTTTGTCAATTGTTTATCTTATATATATAGTAGTGATTGAATTTTTTGTATAAATAAAGTCATTAATTTATTAAAATAAATGTAAAAACTCAGTTTTTATGTGGATTTAAAAATATGAAACTATATTGGATCAACTTAAAAATTTATAAAAATTGATCAATATTTATTTTAAAACCTAATAAATATGATCATGGGAAAATGTGCGTATCGGTAAGTTTTTTTTTGTTCAAATTGGGTGCAAAAAATAGAAAAAATTCACGGTTCCGGTTACCGCAAACGGTTACTCTAGCGGCCTGTTCACCCCGCAATGCAACCGCGCCACGCCGCACGTTAGGCGACGCAGACTCCCCCCGCCCCCGTTTTCAGAACCTTGCTAACACCTGATCTCACTAGTAGGAAAAATGTATCCCCCCCCCCCAAAAAAAAAAACCCAAGGTAAACGTTGTATGAGATGATTGTAACCAGGGGGCCTTCATGCAATCAAGCTTAAATCTTCAAGTTTGAATGGTTAATGCCATAGTTCATCGAAAAATAAAAAAGTACCTATGCCAGGTGGTGTTAAGTAAATGAGAAGTTTAGGTAAATTATGGAAATATAGTATGAAGTAGAGCACAAGATATTATCGCGATTCAGAAAATTTTTCTGAACACGTGTAGGAAATGAACGCTGTAGTGAGAGTGGTTGAATGCACTCATTGTTGCCCGAAATCACATAACATGCCAGATCCATATGTGGTCTCGTTTGGGAAGTTTGCCTATTTTAGTAAAGGTTTTTAGTTTTTGGTTATTTTGAGTAGGCGTAAAATGTGGATTAAAAACTCGAAATATATCGAAGGCGTCAGAGAGGCAATTCAAAACGACGTGCGTTTTGGTTGTTTTTTTTTTTTTGTTTTTTCTTCTCTGAAATAGTCAAGTTGAGGGAGAAGAGTAGGATGAGAGTGAAATAGAGGTAGGAGGGGTGAGGTAGTAAATTTGTGATAATAATGGAGTTTCCACAATCGTCTGATTGTTTATCGATGCTCTTCTATAGCTTTCCATTTCCCTCTCTTCTCGTGCTGCTCATCCCCTCTCACCACTAGCTCATATCGCACGCAAGTTCTTCCTCCCGGTAACACATTCCGTGCATGTGCCGATTTGATGGTTGCAGAGTGCCATGTCGATGAATGAGAGGGTAAATATGATTTTATGGAGCACTTATGGGTATATAGATGGGATTGTTGATAAAGGGATGTGTCATAAAAAGTGATAAAATGTCAAAAACTGTAATTGGGTTGTTGTGCTTTTTATATATGGTTTGTTAGTAAGTAGTTTAGTTTGAAGAAGACCATTTTACAGATGTGAATAGTGTGTTAGTATGAGATGTATCATAACGAGAGTGAATTAGTGGATCTGCTGTATTTGGTTGGTATTTGTGTACTGTAGTTTGTTGCGTGGAAGTCTAACTTTTTTAATGATTTTCTGCTCTTCTGATACTCTCGGTTTCTTCCCCGATCTGTAATGGGATCTATGTGTGTATACGTCTTCGAATGATATGTTTGGGTTTGGTAGAGATAGATGAAGTATGAATTGGGAAATGTTTTAGTGGGATTGTGCAGGGTGTTTGATCGAGGAGGATGCTGTTATTAGAGTCTGCGTAGTTGTATTTTGATTGGGTGTTTTATAAGAGTA